AGTTTCTAGAGGCCACCTGCATTCCTTGGATCATCACCCCCTTCCATCTTCAAAGCCAGCAATGACCAGCTGAGCCTTTCTCACTGAGCTATCTCTCTGCTCAGAATCTGCTCAGACTCTCTGCTTCCCTCTTTCCCATATAAGGACCCTTGTGATTACATTTGGCCCACTTAGATATTCCAGGATAATCTGTTTATATTCAGGTCAGCTGATCAGCAGTCTTAATTCTATCTGCAACCATAATTCTCCCTTGCCATGTAACAACATATTTATAGTTTCCAGGGATTATTTGGGGCAGTTATTTTGCCTACCATATATGTCCATCATGATTTGGTAGAGAATTTTGAACCACAAAAGTAAGAGTACCTAACCCATCTGCCCCTCTCCTGCTGCTGCATGTCAACCAACATTTTGCACATGGGCTCTTTTGTTGAAAAATTTACTTCCAGAAATGGAAGGGACCCATAAAGGGCATTTAACCTATATTTCTTTCCCTGTCTACTGAGCTAACAAGGGGTCATGAATAATGGCAGTTTCTGTTGTTAGAGAATGTGACTAGAGCTGTAAAGCTTTTGCACATAAAAGAATAGTTTCACCTAGATTACCTGCTAGATTACCCCCCATTCCCAAGGGAGCCCCTTGGGTCAACTTCTTAGCATTTACGTATAGATTTATCATTGTAGTGATTAAGATAGGCTTTGGAGCAGGTTGGCTGGGTTTGAATCTTAAATACATGATTCACTGACTATGTGACCTTGGCCCAGGATCTTACTCACACTGCACAGTTTATTCAACTCTTAGAAATAATACATAACAGGACCTACCTCATTTGGTTGGGGTGAAAGTTAAATAAAATAATGTGCACAACACAATTAGAAAGAACAGTGACTGGACATAAAACTGGTGCTTTAAAAAATTAGCTAAACTGTGGATTATTTCGTTGTTCCAAATACTGAAATAATATTTGATGGTTTATTGGTTGAGCTCTTTTTTTCCTAGGAAAGTCTTATTTCAATGCCTAACACTCTCCTGAGATCTTGAAACCTTCCATATTTCTACCTGTCCCCAGGCCTGAATATTGGATGTATGAGCTTCTCTAGCGGTCTTCGTTCCATTTGACAAAGCTTGGCCGTGTTGGAAGCTCCCAACCTCTCCTCAACCCCTCTCTGTATACTGCTAACATGGGTTAGGTTACTGTTCAGAATTATCCCCTGCCCACCCCACCCTTCCCGCCCAATAGAAGTGGCCATCCTATTTGTCCAATAGGATGTTAGAAGTCATGATACAAGCAAGGGCTTTGGAAGTGTGTGTGCACTTGAGTGTCAGGAAGCTGTGCCTCCCCCCAGCTTGGACCCAGAATGCACACACGAAACGGAGCCATCTCAGCCATCCTGCAGTTCTGAGAGAATAAATGACTTCTTTCAAGCCCCTGAATTTTGGGATGGTTGGTTATATAGCATTATGGCAGTAGTAGCTGATACATTTGCCCACCCTCTTACATTTTTTCACAATATTGTCCCATTTAAAAACTAATCTTTGAAGTAATCTAATCTGCAAGGCTATTTATGCCTTCTCCTGGCAACCTCCTGCTCCTTGTACCCAACATTCTAGTGTTTTCTCTTTCTTTTCCTCATTTCATTTTCAAATGATAACGTCATCAACCCACACACTTGTGAACAAGAAGTTATGTACAATTATGTTCACTGCAGAATTATTCATAGTAGAAACATATTGAAACAATGTAATGCTCATCCTCAGAAGAATGATGAATCAACCATGATACAATCATAAAATGAAATACAGTGCAGCAGTTAAAATAAATGAATGCCTAGCTACTAGGGTAGCTAGCCTTGAACAGAAAGAGCCAGTGGAAGTATATACATCACCATATCATTTATTTAAGTTGAAAAAACTGCTAAATAGTGTTCTATAACACAGCTCTATCAGTATTTTGTGGGGTTTTTGGTTTATTTTAATTTTTTTAAATTTTTTAAATGTTTTTTATTTATTTCTGAGAGAGAGAGAGCATGAACAGGGGAGGGTCAGAGAGAGAGGGAGACACAGAATCTGAAGACAGGCTCCAGGCTCCGAGCTGGCTGTCTGCACAGAGCCCAACATGGGGCTCGAACCCACGAACTGTGAGATCACGAACTGAGCCAAAGTCAGAAGCTTAACAGACTGAGCAACCCAGGAGCCCCGCTATATCAATATTTTGAAACAAATATAACAACATGCAAAAAATGATAACAGAGTTTATTGTTGGGTTATCTCTGGAGAAAGAGGGAGGCAAATGGATCAGAATGAGCACCAAAAAAACATCAATTTTATCCATTTTTCTTTTAAAATATCTCGGAAAACATTCTAAATGAATACAACATAACGTTTAAGCTTTGATAAAGCTGGGTGATGAGTACACAAGTAGTCAATATTATTATAATTTATTCTCGTTGGTATCTTTGAAATATTTCACAATTAAAAATGTTTTATAGTAACTTTTTAAAAGTTTATTTATTTTCACAGAGAGAGAGAGAGAACCCCAAGCAGGATCCCCACTGTCAGCATAGAGCCCAGTGTGGACATGAGCTCACGAACCATGAGATCATGATCCCGGCTGAAATCAAGAGTCAGATCCTTAACTGACTGAGCCACCCAGGTGCCCCTATATAGTAACTTTCAAGAAGAGACTGTGGAAATTGTTGTAAGCTGCTTGCTAGGGTCTGAATGTTTGTGTCTTCTCAAAATAATATGTCAAAATACTACCCCCCAAAGCAATGGTATCAGGAGGTGGGACCTTTGAGGTGATTAAGTGATGAGGGCAGAGCTGTCATTGATGGGATTGTACCCCTATATTTGTGCCCCAGAGAGCTCTCTTGCCCTTTTGGCCATGTGTGCTACAGCAAGAAGACAACTGTCTACAGACTAGGAAGGGAACCTTCACCAGACATGAAACCTGCTAGAGCCTTGATCTTCGACCTCCCAGCCTCCAGAATTGTGAGAAATAAGTATTTTTGTTTTTGTAAGCCACGCAGTATATGGCAGCGTGAACAGACCAAGATACTGCTCTTTTTGACTGTTCCTACCTCAGGTTGTTCCCAGCCCTCTTGGTCATTGTCTAATTTTGCCTCTTGAACAAATCCTAGAGTTGTCTCCACCAGAGTGGCACCTGCTTCTCTATGGGAAAGGGCACCTGTTCTCTCCTGACCTTCAGCCTTGGCTTCTGTCCTCAGGCCTTTGCTGTGGCGTCCTGCTCTTTCAGCTGTGTTTCACTAATGGGAAAGCCGAGACTAAGGACTGTGAAATCCCACTTGGAGGAGCCAAAACCACCACAATTGCCCCATTTCACCTCTAATTACCTGTCATTCGAAGTCCAAATGGCTCTAGAGTCTCCCTGTAGGATTTTAATTTTCTCTTCTCTCTTTTGATTCACTGTTTATGGAACCTGCATAACTATCTTTTTAGAGGATGAATTAGATTCCTAGGCCAGTCTCTCTCAAACACCTTCAGTCCTTCCCTAAGACTAAATTACGCCCAAATACCCTAAGTGTGTCATTCAAGATTCAGCCCTGCCCAGAGGAAAGGTTCATAAGTGCTGAATCCCAGTTATGACAGTTTTTATTCCAGTGGCTTTGGGTAAATCACTTGGCCTTTCTAAGCTTCAGTTTCCTCTGTTGCAAATTGTGATAAAAAGAGCACCTCCTAGAGTTGCCTTGAAATTAAAGAGGGGATGAAATCAGGCGTTTAGTCCAATGCCTGATACCCAATCAATGGTAGCTTCTATGTTCTCTACTACATTCTTCGACACACAACTCATAATTCCCTCAATTCATCCAGGGCTTTCACTTTTAGCCTTGTTTGTTTGTTTGTTTGTTTGTTTGTTTTTGTCCCAGATGCCTAGAATGCCCTTCTACATTATCTCCCCAAGTCTGTGGTTCTCATCCTCCTACTAGAGAGACAATAAACTTAGCAGAGGGACAGTACAATCACCTGGGTTCAAAAATCAAGTTCTGCCATTTCCTCCCTGTGTGACTTGCTTAAGTTACTTAATCTTCTGCCTAGGTTTCCTCACTTGTAAAATGGGGGATAATAGGGGCGCCTGGATGGCTTAGTCGGTTAAGCGTCCGACTTTCGCTTAGGTCATGATCTCGCGGTTCGTGGGTTCGAGCCCCGCGTCGGGCTCTGTGCTGACTGCCAGCTCAGAGCCTGGAGCCTGTTTCAGTCTGTGACTCCCTCTCTCTCTGACCCTCCCCTGCTCACGCTGTCTCTCTCTCTCTCTCTCTCTCTCTCTCTCCCCTAGAAATAAATAAAAATATTTTAAAACATGGGGGATAATAGCAGTACAGGTATCCCCTGATTTTCCTAAGTTCCTGTTAGGCCACTTCAATTTCACCAATTACCGACATTATTAGTACCTGTTTTTGCTAACTGAAAGAAGAAAGTAAAAAGGCAAAACCAAAAGCAGTCTTCAGCATTTGTTTTGCATCAGCCGTTATGGAGCAAGTGGACACCCCCAAGCCAGAGTACCCCCATCCGTCCGCCCGCCCCCCACGCTCCTGCCCCCAGAAGTACACTGAGCATCTCAGCAGCAAGTCTCCACAGCTTTGAACTATATCTATGAGCACATGTGCTTCCTCTCCATTTATTTTGTGCATCTGTTGGCAAGATGTGTCTAAGGTATCAGAAAAGCCTAAGAGAGGTTATTGGGAGCGAGGGGCGAGGCAGAATCTGGAAATGCTCGGGAGTTTTTCCATATAAATTAACGGTAATTGCCTCTTCACCTCATGCCATTTGGGCTTAGGGAAGGTTTTATAGGAGCTCTACTTCCTAATACCCGGGAAGCCAATATCTACCTTATAGGACTGTTGAAAGATTAGTGTGTCCTCGTGAAGAATTTAGAACAAGGCCCGGCACAGTCAATGCTAGATCAACGTTGTGGGCTGGCAGTGGCGTCGAACGTCCGCCCTCCGTTCAGGGCCTGAGCTTCTTGGGAGCAGGGGACAGTCTAATCTCTGAATCCACAGTGCCTCGAACGAAATAAGCATTGCAATAAATCTGCAGAACTTAAGGCAGGAGAAGGAGAAGTGAAAACCGAGGAAGCAGGTCTCGGCGCGAGGGTGATGGGAGACGAGGGTGGGAAAGCTTGGATTCCGCGGAGCGCGGAGGGCTGCGGCGCCAGCGTGCAGAGGTGGCGCCCCGGCGGCCGCGGGCGCGGCTGGCTTTTCCCAGGGCCTCCGGCGGCGGTCAGGTGGCGCCGGGAGGCCGGGGGAGGGGCGGCAGGAAGGGGTGCGGTCGCGGTCGCGGGCCGGCCGGCGCTGAGCACCCGCGGCCGGGGCGCACTCCCTCTCGCGGTTCTCCCGCGCTCCGGGTCCCCGCAGGTAAGTTCAGCCTCCCCGCGCGTCGCCCGCGGCCGCTGGGAGAGGTGGGCGCTGGGCCCGACCCCCCCGGGGCGCAGCCGGCGCCGCGCACCAGGGGGCCAGGGGGTGAGGGGCCCGAGGGGCTTCAGGGCGGAGAGTCCACGACTCCCATTTCCATTTGGCGGAAACTGAGGCCCAGAGGAGCAAAAATGGGGTGCCCAGGGCGGGGGAGGGGGTTGTGTCGCCCGGCTGTGGTGAGGGCGGGGCGCAAAGCGACCCCCCGCTGTCAGGACGCCCTAGACCCTTCACTTTTCCTACGGATCTAGCGTCTCGGCCCCTCTAGTGCTGACCGTGTTGGGGACAGAAAAAGAGCGGAGAGTCAGGAATGTCCTGTGGGTCCCTGGGGGCTCAGGAGGGGCTGGACGAGCCCCATTCTGAGGACTTGGAAGCGCACTCCTCCCCGTGGCCGGTTTCTCCTCTTTAAGTTAAGCCATTTGTTTTATTACACTTAACTATTTTTAGGTGGTAGAAGAAAAGTGCATTTAGCTATTGAGTTTTGGGAATCCGAGAAGTTTGCTTTTCATTGAAAAGACTCACCTTTTTCTTTGATTGCAACAGAGTCCGTTTCACTGCTCATGAATCATCCCGCTGGCATTTGAGTCAGCAGGTGGGGGATCTGACTCCTAGCCTGCAAAATGACCATATATAGGAAACTGGTTTGTGCAGGGTCCCAGAGGCTCTGGGTCCCTGATGGCCCTTCTGACTGCTGATAAGGAGTTATATACACAGTTGGACATAAATTCTTTCCCAGGATTTGTGTTCTACACAGATAGCAAGACTACCCTGGGGGAGAGCTACATTTACAACTTGTTTTATCAACATCGTAAAAAATGTAACTCATTAAATCGTTCTTCTGCAAAGATATCACCATTGGCTTCATGAAGGCAGAAAATTTCAGACTGATGAGAAAGGGAATGTAAAACATGTAAAGAAAACAAGAATCTTGTTCTCAGAGCTGTGCTCATTGTGTAGAGCAATCTGTTGAGAAATAATCGGGATGGGGTATGAAGAAAAGGAAATGATGTAGGTGCTCTAATTACCTTTCTGAAAAGCATGTTTAAAGTTCTGTTGTTCAATCATGTAGCCTCCACTATGGAGTGATTTCTTAAAATTTCAGTCAGTAATAATTACTAATAATTTGCAAATTGTACTGGATCAACACATTGAACATCAGTTTTGACGATGTCTGATGTCTGGGACAGGCACTTGGGGAGGGCAGAAGCAATGGAGTTACTTTCATACCTTTGGAGTGTGACTGCCTTGATTCAGGAGGGGGACACTCCCTTGCTGTGTGGCTGGAACATTGTGGGACCTTCTCTGTGCCCCAGCTTCTTTAAATGCAAAGTGGAGATGTTATTAATGACACCTAACTCCCTAGATTATTGTGAGGTTTATATTAAATCATCCATTCATTCATTTAATGAGCACTTTTTTAGTACTGTCTATGCCTCTGAGAACAAATATGACAAAAACGCCTTGCGGAATTGACCTAGTGCTTTTTATATCACCCGGCACATAGTAAGAACTCAAAATGCTAGCTGATATTACAATACATATTACTTCATTCTGCGCTAGCAGCCCTCCTCTTCCCTTTTTACAGATGAAGAAACTGAAACTCAAAGAAATTGAGTTTTAAGATGCAAAATCAGGGGATGCCTGGGTGGCTCAAGTTAAGCATCCGACCCTTGTTTTCAGCTGAGGTCTTGATCTCAGGGTCATGAGTTCAAGCCCGGTGTTGGGCTCCACGCTGGGCATGGAGCCTACTTAAAACAAACAAACAAACAAAAAAGGCAAAATCAGAACTAGAACACCTTGTATCCACTGTGTATATAAAGGGATGCAGTGTTAGACCTGGTAAGCAGAGAGCAAGAGCCTATTGCCCCAGGGTACAGAGGGCCTGAGGGCCCGAGAAAATCATGCTAAGTATTTCCAGGAACTAATAGTGTTAATTTCCTACTAAACTTTGTTCTGGGGCTATCTTTGAAATTTTAGATTATTTTGTTCCCAGGATCGGTGGGAGCAACTTGTATTTCTAAATCAACCCTGGAGATATGCCAGCATGTTTGAAAAATGTCTACGTATGACAAGGGCATGGGTTCCCAATCAGGGCTCCACCAAAGAATTGCCCTTTTTACGTCTGAGCCCTACTAGGAACCAGACTGCCTCCTCAAAGAGCAAGCATGTCTGTTTATAACAGGCTGTAGGCTTGGAGCCTTGTAAAATGTGTATGGAGGTATCACAATCAAGCACAAAGAATCAAACTCAAGCCAGCTAAAATTCATTGACCGTTTCTGTTTCTGCTGTTGTTCCTTATGAGGTATGGATCCTGGTTAAAAGAACTCAGCAATCAACATAGTTCTATTGGATTTTTAAAGGAGTCAGTTTTTTGTTTTCCGGGAAACATATTTGTAAACCTCTTACATACAGAGATTTTTTCTCTCTCTTGTTTTGACCCCTACCGAGATCCAGCACAATCCTTTGTATATAATGGTGCTCAGTAAATGTTTGTTTATTAAATAAGGTACTTGATGTTAGAGACGCCACATCATCTTACTGAGATGGTTTCTCTTTGAATGTTGACTTCTGGTTTCTGGATTAAAGATTAAGGGTTTTTCTTGAGATTATTATGTTCTGAATCCCAGATTTATTCTGTTTAGTAACTTTTTTTCTTTTAATAGGTTAGTGTGATCTCAACTCAAGCAAAAGTAGAATATCATGGCCTCCATCTGGGTAAGTAAAAACCAAGCCCTCATAACACAGTAACTCATCTTAGTCAAATCAATATACAGAAAGTCAAAATATTAGGAAAAATGTTTTGAAAGCTGATAAAAGTTTCATTTAAATATACATGCCAAAAAAGCTAGAGGATGTCTAAAAATAATAAAATAGAAAAATGTGTTTGTAGAGGTATGTAATTAAAATTATTTTTGATGACACCAAATTAGAGGTCAATAACAGTAAATTTCATCTGTGATTTGGGAATTTATTATATGATAAGGATAAGTTTCGTATCAGAGAGGAAAAGATGGCTTATTCAATAAATAATGTTAGGAAATGTTCTAGCCATTTGGGAAAGAAGTCAATCTGTATTCCTTCTCCCTTCATACATTAAAATGAATTTCAAATGGATAAAACACTGAAATGAAAGAGACAAGATATGGGTGAATTTTAAAAATAATATTGGAAGGGTGTCTGGGTGGCTCAGTCAGTTAAGTCAGTTAAGCACGTAACTCTTCATTTTGGCTCAGGTCATGATCTCAAGGTTTGTAAGACTGAGCCCTGTGCTGGCAACACAGAACCTGCTTGGGATCCTCTCTCTCTGTCTCTCTCTCCCTGACCCTCCCCTGTGTTATTCTCTCTCTAACTCAAAATAAATAAACACTTAATGAATAAATAAATAAAAATTAAAATAATCTTGGAGTAGGAAAGGCAGTTATAATTATGAGACAAACCAAAAGCCTAAAAGAGATATATTGATCTACTTAATTGCATGTAAACTTATGGTTTATGACAGCAAACAACACTATTAGTAGAGTCAGAAGACAACCCACAGAGGAATAATATTGTATCATATCAGGCAAAAAAAACTAATTTCCTTAACATAAAAATTACTTGAATAGGGGCACTTGGGTGGCTCAGTGGGTTGAGCCTCTGACTTCGGCTCAGGTCATGATCTTGCAGTTCATGGGTTCAAGCCCCATGTTGGGCTCTGTGCTGACAGCTCAGGGCCTGGAGCCTGCTATGGATTCTGTGTTTCCTTCTCTCTCTTCCCCTCCCCTGCTTGTACTCTGTCTCTTTCAAAAATAAATAAATGTTTAAAATTTTTTAATTTATTTGAATAAATTAAGAAAAAAACTCAATGGAAAAATTTGTAAGGGACATGAATAAGACATGAAAAAAATTACAGATGTCCAACAAACATATGAAAAGATGCTGTCTCTCACTAGGAAATAAAGAAATGTAAAAAACACAATGAGAAACCATCTCTGACTAAGTATTGGTAGAGCTGAGGAAAACATATAGTAAGACCAATGTTGGCATTACAGGTACTCTCATACTCTGATTGTGGGAGATTAAACCTGGCACACTTTTGGATGGTATTTTGGTGATAAATGTACACCCTCTTTAACCCAGTTTTCCTACTTCTGGGCACTGATACTTGCATAAGACTGAAAAAACATAGGCCTAAAGACATTTATTTGTATTCATGAAAATATGCAGACAGCATAAATGGCCCTCCATGGGGTATGAAGTGAGTAAATGACTCATTTGTAACTTGTAGCCATTTTTATGTGATCATTAAAAAGAATTGGACAAAAGGAGGTCAGGTCTTTATATATCAACATAAGAAAATGTCAAAAGAGGGGGCTTGGCTGTGTTAGTCATTTGAGTGTCAGACTCTTGATGGTGGCTCAGGACTTGATCCCAATGTTCTAGGATTGAGCCCTGAATCAGGCTCTGCACTGACAGCGTGGAGCCTACTTGGGGTTCTCTTTCTGTCTTTTTCTCTCATGGGCCATCGGTGTGGCTCTGTTGGTTACTCTTGATTTTGGCTCGGGTCATGATACCATTGTTCGTGGGATCGAGCTTTGCGTTGTCACGCTCTGTGCTGACAGCACACAGAGACTGCTTGGGACTCTCTCTCTCCCTCTCTCTGCCCCTTCCCCACTCTCTCTCTTTCTTAAAATGAATAAATAAACATTAAAAAATTCTCTCTCAAAATAAATAAACATTAACAAAAAAAAAAAGATTCTCTCTTTCCTTCTGCCCTTATCACCTACTCACCCTTTCCCTCTAAAGTGAAAAAAAAAAGTAATAATGAAAAAAAAAATCAAGTTACAGAATAGTATCTACAGAATGATTCTGTTTATAAGAAAGAAAAAAGAAAAAATATACATAAAGACTGTATTACGTGAAAACTTTCTAGAGAGGCAGAATTGTGAGCAAGGGCACATTTATTTTTCAGTGCATCACCCTCCATGCTCTAATTTTTTTTTGTGAATGATGAAAATACATTATATTACATAGGTGAGGGACAGAAAGGCTTCAAGAATAGCTCGTGTGGAGATGTGCCAGCCCAAGGCATGGGTGGTGCTGGGCCGAGGTGTGCTGGTGCAAAGTTTGCTTGGCCCCAGGTTATTCCCTTACCATGGCCAGGAGGCCAGTCTCTCCTCTTGCCAGGTCTGAAATTCCTCCTGCTACTATGGACACATAGTAGAATCAGACGAAAAAAAAAAAGCATTTTCCAAAATGCTGGTTTTAAGAAAAAAGTCTCCCTCTAGTCCTTGTCCATTAGTAATTCAACATGGGATTAGTCGGTCAGGCTCTCCAATTAGTGGGTCACCTGACACCTTCAAAGTCATGGCTCATTTCTGAAGGGTCAGGAGAGACCCACGTGAGTGTGAGAGAGGGCGTATTTGTTTTCTGTTGCCACCATAATCGATTACTATAAATTCAACAACTTAACGCAACACCCATTTTTTAAATCTTGCAGTTCTTGCATGTTAGAAGCCTCAACCAGGCCTCATGGTGCTAAAATCAAGGAGTTGGCAGGGCCGTGTTCCCTTCTGGAAACTCTGGGAAGAATCCATCTCTGAGCTTATTTAGGTGGTTGGCAAAATTTACTTCTACTGACAGATGAATGGATGAACGAAATGTGGTACATTGTCCCCCTTTATCGCGGTTTCGCTTTGCATGGTTTCAGCTACCCACAGTCAACCACAGCCCAGAAGCAGAACATCTTCCTTGTGACGAATTGTCAGAGGTGAATAGTAGTGGAAAACTTTCTTTCACTAGTTTCTAGATCTCCGTGCCTACCTCATTCACCTCACTTCATCTCATCACAAAGGCATTTTATTATCTCATAACATCACAAGAAGCTTGAGTGCAGTTAAGATATTTTGAGAGAGAAAGACATATTCATATAACTTTTATCACAATATATTGTTATAATTTTTATTAGTTATTGTTAATCTCTTATTGTGCCTAATTTATAAATTTAACTTTATCATAGCTATGCGTGTATAGAGAAAAAATAGTATATATAGGATTCAGTATTATCTGCAGTTTTAGCCATCCACTGGGGGGTCTTAGAATATACGTACAAGGAAGTATTATTCAGCTCTTAAAAGGAAGGAAATTGTGATACATGCTACAACATGGATGAACCTTGAGAACATGATGCTAAGTGAAATAAACCAGCAATAAAAAGACAAAATACTATGACTCCATTCATATGAGGCATCTGATGTAGTCAAATTCACAGAGACCAAAAACAGAGTTGTGGTTGGACCCCGTAGAGACCGAAAACTCCAGCTGTGGAGCTGCAGAGGATTTGTTGCTTGATGGGTATAGAATTTCATTTCTGCACAATGAAAAAGTTCCGGAGGTCTGTTTCACAACCACGTGAATATTCTCACTGCCACTGAACTGTACACTTAAAAATAATTAATGTGCTAAATTTTATGTTTTACCATAGTAAATAAAAAAGACCCTCATATTTCTGTAAATATTCTTATCACTATGTTTTATCTGTTCTCTTTTTCCCCCTAACACACAAAAGCACATACATACCTAAAAACAAATAAGCAATCAAGTCCATGCTTTCCCCTAAACGGTTTGTAGCTGCCAGTGGATGGTGAGTTTATTGGAGCGTTATGATCAAGAGAGACGACTTTGGTTGCTATTTTAGTACATTGCCAGTGGAAGATGAAAGAATAGCTGGTTTCCTGGGTCTGTAAATTCGAGGTGTGTTGCAACCCTCCCATTGTGTCAGATGAATCAACAATCTATGTTGCATTACTACTTCCTTTGTTTGGAAATGTTGCGTATCTCTGTTCAGGCATGTGTTCTACTTAACACCTGGTGAGAGGGCCTGATATCTTAACAGTTTGTACACTTTGGATCTAGGGTCCCTTGTCTTCTGTTGCCTTTATTTAGATCATAGCAAGCATTCAGGCTTCAGACAACCCACAAATTAGAACTAGTCTTGGGAACATGACTCTGTGTGTGTGTTTGATATCTTTATTGCTTTGGGGGTGGGGGCAGATGCTCAGGAGCTCTTGGTGGGGCTAGCCCACTGCCTCTTCACCGCAGGCTGCTGGCCATGCAGGATGGCCGTGGCTCTGTGAAGGGCGGCCACGCTCAGATCTGGGCCGTACTTGCTCTTGAGGACCGTGTACCTGATGCTGCTAGTGGCCTGGGTGTTCTCATTAATGGGCTGCACGTAGGAGGTGGCAGGTTTTCGCTGGTCGAATCCCTGCTTCATGACTACCACTACACCTTTGCCATCCACCGTGGGCTCAATGCACACAGTCTTGCTGTGAATACCCCACTGTAGCGGAAGCAATTGCGAGCCTTCAGGTTATGGGCCTCGTGCTGTACGTCTGCTTGCTCCTCTTCATCAGGAAGCTGGAGCAGTTTGCAGCCCCATCCATTGCAAGGGGGTGGACTCAGCGGCAGAGTCGGAAAGAGCAGGACCATGCCTTTCTGAAGATACCATAGCAGTATCTTTCCTCTACGTGCCTTCTACAATGCTAGCTTTCTCAAGCAAATATTCTGGGGTCTTTGCTCCTTGGTCAGTTCCTAACTTATTTTTAGAGAATAATGAATGCAATTGCTATTTGTTTGAATCCTCAAATTAGTATTTTAACTACGCTGCTAAATTCTTTCTAAATTCATAACCACCGTAATCATTATGAACTCTTATAAGATCCTAACTTGCTATGCAT